GTCCACATGGAGCAGGGCGGCCTGGTCAAGCCAGAGAGAGACGACACGGAGTTTCAGCACCCCTGCTTCCTCCGTGGCCGGGAGCAGCTCCTCGAGAACATCAAGAGGAAAGTGACCAGTGTGAGTGCCGCCCCGGACGCTCGCCTGCCCTCGCCCCCACAGCTCTGCCTGCCCACCTCTCCCTCAGAGCTCCCACCCCAGCCCGCCCCCTTCCTGGGAGACCCGGTGGGCAAGCCTGAGCCTGCCAAGCTCCCAGGCCACTTCAGTGACTCCTGTTCCTCTCGGGGCGGGGCGGGGGGATCCAGGTTTCCACCCTGAAGAGCGAGGACATCAAGATCCGCCAGGACAGCGTCACTAAGCTGCTGACGGACGTGCAGCTGATGAAGGGGAAGCAGGAGTGCATGGACTCCAAGCTCCTGGCCATGAAGCAGTAGGTCCCACCCCAGCACTGTGGGCTGCAGTGGGTCCTGGCGCTCACCAGGAGGCCCCGTGTGTTGTGGGGGCAGAGCCTTGTCTGGGGCACCAGGTGCTCGGCCCTCCCCTCCCCTCCACGCAGTTCCGCCCTGGTCCTCTGCCCCAGCCCCGCCACCCGTGGCTGCTTTGGAAGCTCTAGGGCCAGCCATTCTCCACACGCAGAAGGGGGTTAGGGGTGCCCTGCTCTGTGCATCCCCAGGGCCCTCTGGGCCATCCTGGCTTCCTGGGGCATTGGCTTCTGCCTGGGGCCCACAGCACAGGCGAGCTGAGTGCCAAGCTTGGCAGGACCCACCAGCCTACTTTTGAGCACAAACCCTGTACACCAGACCCCGCCAACAGGCCAGGGTCAGCAGCAGCTTCCACAGCAGGCCTGTGGCCAGACCCCTTGCTGCTCCCCCGTCCGCTCCCCATGGCTCCATCTTGAGGTGCAGCCGTCACCATCCCACCCGCCTCAACCCTGGGGACAGATGCATCTCTGCCCCACACGTGCCTGGGCCTGTGGAGCCAGCCCCCCAGTCCCTCCTCTCCAGGACCCTGTGGCTCTGGGGAAACCTTAGCAGGGGCCTAACACACACTTTGCCTGAGAAACTGAGGCAGGGCTACTTCAGAAGGCCAGCTCAGGTCTCACACCCACTTTGGGACTCCAAGCATGCGGGAACCCCAACCCCAGTGCGGCATCCTCAGCTCCGAGCAGCAGGTGCTCTCGACCCCCACATCACGGAGGAGGCCCTGGCCTCAGACTCTCCCGCACAGGGTCCAGCAGGAGACACTGGCTTTGTGATTCCTGGAATCCGGCCACACGGGCCTGGCCTGCTAGGACACAGGCGCCTCTCAGGGTGGCCCCAAGAAGACTCAGGCTTGGCTGGGCCTAGCCTCCCAGAGCAGCAGGAGCCCGCTCACGGCCCTGCTCACCTGCCTGGGGACAGTGCTCGGGAAGCTCATCCCTACCCTGTGAGGCCACCTCTGAGCCACTCCTAGGCCTGTCTAGGGTCCTGAGCATCCGCAGGACACACGACAGCTGCTGGTGCAGCCTGAAGAACTGTCCTCTCCACACCTGGCTTCTCAGGCCTCGTAGGAGAGGCTCAAGGGTCTGCTGTTAAGGCATCCCTCCAGATGTTGTGCAGGATGGGTGCCAGGATCCAGGTGCACCTGGCTGGCTCTCTCCCCAACCACCCTACCTGACACCAGCTGTCCCCGCCAGGGAGGGGCAGTGGGACCAGCAAGCTCTGGCCTGTCCCCTAGCCCCTCCACACAGCAGTTCTCATACTGGACTGGGCCAGGCCAGACATGGTCACACTCACCCCTGCTCCCGCCTGGGAGACGGGAGGGTCTGTGGGGCTCCTGGAATTGGGCCCCACTGACCCAGCCTGGTCTGTTGCAGTGAGAATGAGGCTCTGTGGCGGGAGGTGGCCAGCCTTCGGCAGAAGCATGCCCAGCAGCAGAAAGTCGTCAACAAGGTGGGGGCAGGGCCAGAGGGCCAGCGGGGGCCCCGCAAGTGCCGGGGTAACTGTGTCTTCTCTCCCCACAGCTCATCCAGTTCCTCATCTCGCTGGTGCAGTCAAACCGGATCCTGGGGGTGAAGAGAAAGATGTGAGGTTCTGGGGACACCTGCATCGGCCATGTGGGGCACGGGGCCCAGGGCCCAGGGCCATCCCCCTTCTCTGTCAGCTGTGCCCTGGGTGCCCCAAGCCTGGGGGAGGCAGCTGACCCGTGCCCTTCCCCGCAGCCCCCTGATGCTGAACGACAGCGGCTCGGCACATTCCATGCCCAAGTATGGCCGGCAGTTCTCCCTGGAGCACGTCCATGGCCCAGGCCCCTACTCGGTGAGCGCCCGGGGGCAGGGCTCCTGTCCAGGCACGCGGGCGGTGATGGGGGGGCCGCCCCGGCCCGCGTCTCATGGGCCTCCTGCTTTTTATCGCAGGCCCCATCCCCGGCCTACAGCAGCTCCAGCCTCTACGGCCCTGATGCCGTGGCCAGCTCCGGACCCATCATCTCCGACATCACTGAGCTGGCTCCTGCCAGCCCCGTGGCCTCCCCCGGCAGGAGCCTAGACGAGAGGTGGGGGCCGCGTCACCCCAGCCCTCCTGTTCCCCCAACGCGGCCAGCTCCCTTGGGCCCAGGGCAGAGTTGGGGGTGAGGTGGGGCCGCCCAAGACGCCGGCTAATGTGGCCACGCCTGGTGTCCAGGCCCCTGTCCGGCAGCCCCCTGGTGCGTGTCAAGGAGGAGCCCCCCAGCCCGCCTCAGAGCCCCCGGGTAGAGGAGGCGAGTCCCGGGCACCCATCTTCTGAGGACACCCTCTTGTCCCCGACCGCCCTCATTGACTCCATCCTGCGGGAGAGTGAGCCCGCCCCCGCCTCCGCCACAGCCCTCACGGATGCCAGGGGCCACACGGACACCGAGGGCCGACCCCCCTCACCCCCGCCCACCTCCACCCCTGAAAAGTGCCTCAGCGTAGCCTGCCTGGACAAGTGAGTGCCGTCCCAACCTCAGAGCTCCGGGCCGGGGAGGGAGACAGGTGCCAACCAGATCACCCCACAGCCCCGAACGCCACAGAAGCCCAGGGCGTGGTGGGACAGGCTGCCGGGCCCTGCTCTTGGCCATCCCTCCTGCTGCCGCCACCCTCTCGCCACAGGCCACGGGTCCCAGCATCAGTCGTGCCACCCAGACCGACAGCAGGAGACAGGTGAGCGGGGCCCGGCCTCGACACCCCCAGGCCCTGCCCAGCCCTGCCTGCAACGGGGCCTCTCGTTTTTGTATCTTGCAGTTTGGCTCGCACTCCACAGATGTCTGGGGTCGCCCGCCTCTTGCCCTGCCCCTCTTCCTCTCCACATGGCCGAGTCCAGCCAGGGTTAGCGCTGACCCCACTGGGGAGGGAGGAGGGCCCTGCCAGAGCTTGGGCCCTCCCACACAGCCGTGGACCAGACCCAGCCTGGCGGGGCGTGAGCACTGCGCCTGGGCAGTAGCATTCTGGGCCCCTCCATGACGGGGGCTCAATGTCATCCTGCCTCCCCTGGCCACAGGCCTGTGGTCATTGCCTGTGACAAGGACAGGCTTCCCTGGCCTGGCACGGCCTCTGGTGCCAGGCTGCAGTACTGACTGCACTTCCTGTCAGGCGTGGCCTCTGGGGCACCTCCAGGACCCAGCCTGGCTGCCTGTTCAATGGCTCAGGTGTGCCCATGGCCTTGGGCTCTCTTGGTCACTGCCACCAGACCGTGGTCTCATCCCCACAGCAGCATTGGGGCAGGAGCTGAGCCACCCACATGCTGAGCACAGCCCCAGCCGTTTTCCAAACGCCACGGGAAACCTCACCAACCCTGAAAACGGAAACCCCCAACCCTCAGGCTGGAGCTGAATACACCCCTTCTCTCCTGCTGCCACCAAGGCCTCTAGGTCCTCATGGTGACGGGATGCCCCACATGGGTCCGGCCACACCCGTGCAGGGCACAGAGCCCCCACCGCCTTCCAGGCCGTCCAGACCGTGCAGGCCTATACGGGGGCATTACCTGGGGGACACAGCCAAGGGGAGCCCTTCTGCAGGAGGGCATCACGGTGCAGGGCCTGGGGCACCTGTTCACCTACCCCCTCATCCCGGGCCAGGAATGAGCTCAGCGACCACTTGGATGCAATGGACTCCAACCTGGACAACCTGCAGACCATGCTGAGCAGTCACGGCTTCAGTGTGGACACCAGCGCCCTGCTGGACGTGAGTCAAGCCCCGCCCGCCCCGCCCCGCCCGCCCTGCCCCCAGGTGCACTGCTGACTTCCCTCCCTCCTCTGCAGCTGTTCAGCCCCTCAGTGACTGTGCCCGACATGAGCCTGCCTGACCTTGACAGCAGCCTGGCCAGTGTGCGTAGGTGGGTGGGGGGGTAAGGGGGAATGACACAGGCAGGAGTGCTAACTGTACCCCTCCACCCCACAGATCCAGGAGCTCCTGTCTCCCCAGGAGCCCCCCAGGCCTCCTGAGGCAGAGAACAGCAGCCCGGATTCAGGTGAGCCAAATCCCATCAGCCCCACTCTCTGCCCCGACCCCCACAGCCTTGACACCCCGACCCCCGCAGGGAAGCAGCTGGTGCACTACACAGCGCAGCCCCTGTTCCTGTTGGACCCCGGCTCCGTGGACACTGGGAGCAGCGACCTGCCTGTGCTTTTTGAGCTGGGAGAGGGCTCCTACTTCTCCGAAGGGGACAGCTTTGCAGAGGACCCCACCATCTCCCTGCTGACGGGCTCAGAGCCTCCGAAAGCCAAGGACCCCACTATCTCCTAGATGACCAGGAGGAGCCGGGCCAGCCATGGCCTGCCCACCCCCACCCCCAGTGCAGGGCTGGTCCTGGGGAGGCAGGGCAGGCTCACGGTCCTGGGCACTGGTGTGTTGGCCACCACAGGCCCAGCAGGATGCACAGAGGGGCTTGGGCCTGGGCGGCACCTCTGGTCAGGAGGGTCGCCCGCCTGCCAGTCTGCCTTCACCCAACCCAGTGTCCTGTAGTTTGGTTGGGGCTTCACAGCCACACCTGGACTGACCCTGCAGGTTGTTCATAGTCAGAATTGTATTTTGGATTTTTACACAACTATCCTGTTCCCTGTTCCATAGAGATATACAGATATATACACACAGGTGGACAGACAGACGGACGAGACAGGCAGAGATCTATAAACAGACAGGCTCTATGCTATGGCCTCCCATGTGGTTCCTCTGTCCCAGAGTGGTGTGGTGGGTGGGGGTCCAGTGAGGAGGGGCCCAGGGCACAGAAGGGCTGGGCTGCAGTGGCCTCCTGGGGGAAGGCAGATGCTTGCAGGGCCCTGTGCACACCCAGCTCTGCAGGACCAGCATTTGCTCGTAGTTCTTTATTGAGGGACCAGGGGTGGGCACCCAAGGACTACAAGGAACCCCCTTCCCAAGGTGTCTGCACTCAGGGATGAGGACACAGGGTGGGCACACTGTCTTTTATCAGAGCCTGAACCCTCCCATGTAGGCATGGGCAATGGGAGCCTATCCCACGGCCTCAGGGTTTTCCACTTGGCCTGATGGAAGGACGGGAAGGTGGCCTCCCAGGCAGCCTGGGGTGGGCAGTGGAACGGGCTTTGCCTCCTGGGCAGGGCCTTCTCAGCCTCCGTTCCATTCTTTTATCTGGCAGCAACAGCTTGTTCTTGGGCTCCATTGGCCAAGGGGTGGGGAGATGCACAGGTCCATATGCAGCATCGGGGAGTCGGGACCCCACACCTGTCCCCCAGCTGAGAGCTCACCCAGTATTGCCTCAGGCACAGGGCCCATCAGCCCCTACTGGTAGAGGGAGGACACCACCAACATAGCCCACACTACCCACAAGGCCACCACAGTCCGGCAGGCTGCTGATGAGGCCCAGGGTGCAGCCCTGGGACCGGTGCAGGGCCTCAAACACCTGCCTGTTGGGCCACAGCTGCAGGTCTGGGAGTACCAGGGACTGGTACAGTTTTGAGGTAATCAGGTAGTCACTCCAGCAAGGTAAGGCAGCTGCAGGGCCCTGGGGTTACCCCCGACCTCTCTCTGCAACTAGGGTGACCATCTGCCCTGCTTCGTGGCTGTAAGGGCTGCACTGTTTATAACGGCCCAGCATGGTGCCAGGAGTGCAGAGGACAAGGAAGGCCTGGGGACCAGGGGTGGCCCAGACTCACGGAGGGCAGCTGAGGGCCACCTGGCTGCCCGGGTTCCAGCTGGAGGAGAGAGGCTGCCAAACCAGGGCCCTGCCCCAAGGCAAATGACTAGACACAGATTGTGCACCACAGCCTTAGCTCACCAGACACGCCAGAAAAGCCCTAGGGACTGCCCATCCCTGGGCCACTCTGGCTGGGGCCCCCTTCCAACAGAGCCGAGGCCGAGCATGGCGGATCCACGTTGGCCAAGCAGGCTCATCCTGCAGCAAGGCCCAGAGCGCCGATTCCCCCATACCCGGCAGAGGCAGCGCCAGGACAAGGACGCCTGAGCTGAGCTTTTCCAGGGGAAGTGCAGGGAGGGGGCGTCTGCCTGGCCTTGCACTCCCCCTGCCGGCCGGGCCGCGCTGCTGCGGTGGAGCTGCCTCTCCCAGCAGGTCCTGGGCCCTCCGGCCCACACGGGCACACAACGCAGCCTGGAGAACAACAGGCCTCCTGGCCCTGAAGCAGCTGTCCGTGTGGCCCTGGCCATACCTCCCACCAGTCCTCAGGCTCCTGGCAGGCTGAAGAGGTGACTGGACAGCACTTTATTGACACTGTCAGACCCCAGGGCAGGGTCGGCAAGGCTCCCAGCTGGCACCAGCCTGCTGTCGCCATCCCTGAGGGGTGCAGGACAGAGCCCCATAGGGGCAGAGAGGCCTCCCTGGGGCAGGAGGCGGGTGCTGTGCAGCCAGGCCTGTCCCGAGCACTCGAGGCCCAGGAAGAGAGGCTGGCTCTGGCAGCAGGTGCGAGGTGGCAGTGAGAAGCCAGGCGCTTGGGTGCAGCTCAGGCCCCTACTGCTGGGGCCTCGTAGTTGAGCACGTAGTAGTCGTGGACGTACATGAGCACGACTATTGGCTGTCCGATGATGAGCGTCACCCACACGGCCGCGTTGCCATAGTTGCCCTGGAAAAAGCGGCCCACGAACCAGGCCAGTGGGACCTGGGGAAGGTGGGGCCGAGTCAGTCAGTCATAGAGCTGGGGGCTCCAAGGTCCCAGGGGTCCAGGCAGGGGTGAGTGAGTGAGGAGGCCATGTGGGGGTCACTCACCTGAGCCATCATGCCCGTGAACGCCCAGAGGCGGAACATTCGCAGAGGGATGCTCACCAGGTACTGGAGGGGAGGGACGGGACATCAGGGAATGGGGTGTCAGCCATCCCTGCTGTGAGCACACCCCTGCCCAGGGATGAGGCAAGATGTCCCACAGAGCACTGACCTCGTGGAAGAAGGCCGAGGCCAGGAACACCCCTGTCTTGGCCATCCACCTGCTGCTGCCCCTTCGAAGCATGGGCTTGTAGAAATGTCTGCGGAGGAGGGGCTCAGGTTCCCAGCCACGTCCGACACCCCACAGACACACGCTACCCACCTGAGGCACCGCATCCGACACCCCCACAGACGTACACACGCACCTGAGGCACCACGTCTGACCCCCCCGCAGACACACACTACCCACCCGACACCCCACAGACGCACACACCCACCCGACAACCCCACAGAAGCGCACTACCCACCCGACACCCCCCCAGACGCGCACTACCCACCCGACACCCCCATAGATGCGCACTACCCACCCGACACCCCCACAGATGCGCACTAACCACCCGACACCCCCACAGACGCGCACTAACCACCCGACACCCCCACAGACGCGCACTACCCACCTGACACCCCCACGGACGCACACACCCACCCGACACCCCCACAGACGCACACACCCACCCGACAACCCCACAGAAGCGCACTACCCACCCGACACCCCCACAGATGCGCACTAACCACCCGACACCCCCACAGAAGCGCACTACCCACCCGACACCCCCACGGACGCGCACTACCCACCTGACACCCCCACGGACGCACACACCCACCCGACACCCCCACAGACACACGCTACCCACCCGACACCCCCACAGACGCGCACTACCCACCCGACACCCCACAGACGCACACTACCCACCCGACACCCCACACACACACATACCCGACACCCCCCCAGACACACACACCCACCCGACACCCCGCAGACGCGCACTACCCACCCGACACCCCCACAGATGCGCACTACCCACCCGACACCCCACAGACGCACACTACCCACCCGACACCCCCACGGACACACACTACCCACCCGACACCCCCACAGACATACACACCCACCTGAGGCACCACGTCTGACCCCCCCGCAGACACACACTACCCACCCAACACCCCCCCAGACGCACACTACCCACCCGACACTCCCCCGACACACACTACCCACCCGACACCCCCACAGAAGCGCACTACCCACCCGACACCCCCAGACACACACTACCCACCCGACACCCCCACAGACGCACACACCCACCCGACACCCCCACAGACACGCACTACCCACCCGACACCCCGACAGACGCGCACTACCCACCCGACACCCCGACAGACGCACACACCCACCCGACACCCCCCCAGACGCGCACTACCCACCCGACACACCCCCAGACGCGCACTACCCACCCGACACCCCGCAGACGCGCACTACCCACCCGACACGCCCCCAGACGCGCACTACCCACCCGACACCCCGCAGACGCGCACTACCCACCCGACACCCCCATGGACACACACACCCACCCGACACCCCCACAGACCCACACTACCCACCCGACACCCCCGCAGACGCGCACTACCCACCCGACACCCCCACAGACGCACACTACCCACCCGACACCCCACAGACGCACACTACCCACCCGACACCCCACACACACACATACCCGACACCCCCCCAGACACACACACCCACCCGACACCCCGCAGACGCGCACTACCCACCCGACACCCCCACAGATGCGCACTACCCACCCGACACCCCCATAGATGCGCACTACCCACCCGACACCCCCACAGACACGGACTACCCACCCGACACCCCCACAGACGCACACTACCCACCCGACACCCCCACAGACACACACTACCCACCCGACACCCTGCAGACACACACCCTAACCCACCTGAGGCACCACTTGTGAACGGGGATATTCCAGTTCTGCCAGAAGTAGGTGACAGACTCGGAGTTCCTGGGGCCCAGAGAGGATGTGGGGTCAGAGCACACCTTCGCCCATCCCAGGGCCCCAGGGGCGCCCCAGGGCCACTCACCACCAATCCCGGTAGAACTCCCGGTCTCCAAACTGCATGAGCTCAGCCACAGCATTCATGGAGGAGTGGAAGAGCCAGTAGAAGAAGACCAGCCAGATAAGGTGGTTGGGGACCTGGCAGGGAGGTGGGGACGGGCAGCAGGCTGCAGAACCTCTCCCTACATGCCACCAACCCCTCCTGTCCTGCCCCCCCACTCACCGCCAGCTTCAGGAGGCGCTCGATGATGCGTGAGTAGTCCATGTCCTGCAGAAACAAGCCCTTCAGCTAGCCATTCTCCCAGTCTCTCCCCAGCCACCCCAGCCACAAGAGCACCTCAGCCACTCACCTTGAAGGGCTTCATGGAGTTCTGGATGGTAGGGACCATCCACTGCAAAGGAGGGCACCATGTCAGCTCCCAGCTGCGCCAGCTGTACCCAACCCTGCCACACCCCACTTACCTGCTGGATCAGCCCCACCTGGAGCTGGGTGAAAAATAGCTGGGGGAGGAACCAGAGAGCAATCAGCTGAGGCCCTGGCCAGCTGGGAGGCCCCCCAGCCTCCAATGGCCCCCCTCAGCCCCCAACCTCACCATCTCGAGGAGCCGTCGCAGCAGAAAGCGCTTCCGGATTCGGGGAGAGCGGGGATAGTTGAGCTCGTAACACAAGGTGGGGGCGAAGAGGAAGTAGTAGAGATCTGGAACGGGAATGGGGGGCTGGCACCAGCACAGGCCTGGCCTGTCCCCCGCACCTCAGCCCCCCGGAGGTCCTCACCGCAGTAGGTCAGGTTGTCTGGGTAGCTCACGGTGTGCAGGGCGGCGGCACTGCTGGCCTTCTTCCCTGCAGAGGCTACGAGCACAGCAGAGTGGGAGGGGAGTGGTGGGGTCCTGCTGCTGCCCAGCCCCCCAGCAGGCAGCCCCAGCCCCCAGCAGCCCCTCACCAGCCTTGGCCCTGGCCCTGCGGCACCACAAGTTGACGTCTCGGTAGGAAAAGAGCTTGAGGAAGAGGATGGTGTGCACTATCAGTGCCAGCAGGGAGCCCACTGCGGGAGAGATGGGCTCAGGCCTCCACAAGGCCACAGCCAGAGGCTGTGCCTGTGGCTGGCACAAGACAGCTGAGCCGGATAGGGTGGGAGCGCACCTGGAGTGATGGACTCGACCAGCAAGGCCACGGCCGCCGGGAAGCACAGAATGGTGGCCAGGTTGGCCACGTGCAGTAGCAGCCCCGCCTGCTCCGTCAGGACACCCTGGAGTGAGGAACGGAGCAGTCAACCAGGGCTCCCACTGATGGCAAAGGGCTGCTGAGCCTGGGGAGCAGCTCCTCCCAAGAAGGCACACAGCAGGGTGAGTGCGCACGAAGGTGAGGGGCACCGCTTACCGCCGCCAGGCGCTTCTCAATCTGGAACCCGGCCACAGCAAAGACATTGGCCACTGTGGATAGAAGCACCACGGGCAGTTTCAGGGCCATGTCAGCCTGATCCCCACCCAAGGCCCTCCTCAGAGCCCAGCTCACCAATAACCAGGCATGGGGCAGGCCAGCTGTAGGGATCCTTCAGGAACAGAGATACCACCTGGATGGGGTCCACCAGGATGCCATACCTGGGGGTGGAGTGGTGAGGACCTGAGTGGGTGGCAGGTGGGGCCATGGGGCGGCCCCTGGGCAGTCCCTGGGTGGGGCAGGAGCAAGGCCTGGCAAAGGCACTCACTTGATGAGGTTCTCCAGAAATAACCGGGCATTGCTCAAGATCTGCGAGGGACGGACAGGAGAGTGCAGCCCCTTTAGTCCTGGCCACAGGGCACTCACCCCAGCTCCTCCCAACACCTCTGGGCACGTCCCAGCCTGAGCTCAGGGCAGAGCCTCAGGCTTGCAGACCCAGCCCTGTCTCGTCTCAATCCCAAGCTCCGAGACCGGGCACCCACCTCAGCCAACACCAGTGCTGGGCAAGGGGAAGTCCCTCCCTGTCCCCATCACTCCAGAGGGGCCCGCATGGAGGGAACCAACCACACCCAGGCACTGGCCAGACACCTGGGTCTTCTGGAGCAGCAAAACCTGCTGCTTAGCTGCTCACATCCCTCCTGCTGAGCCAAGACAGTGAGGGGCCCAAGGCTCCCACAGCCAACCACAGAGACAGCCCCAAAACCCAGGCCTGCCCACAGCTGAGCCCCAAGGAACCAGTCCCTACTGGTGGCCCAGGCTGAAGAGGGGAGTCGTCCACCCTTTCCTTGTAGGAGCAGTGCCCAGCTGTGTAGCAAGGGGGGCTGGGCCTAGACTGCTTCCCAGGGCTTATGCCCTGTCTGCCTCTTCTGCTTCCTGCAGTCCTCCAAGCCCTGGACACTTGGCTCCAAGCAGCTATCCCAGGACTAAGCCCCCATGGAAAAAGGCACCTGGGTCTAGCCTGGAGCTGGGTGCTTGACCTCCCTCTGCAAGGACAGGAATCTCTTCCTCCATCTTACAAGCACTACCAACACCTCCATGAGCTGGGCCCCAGTGCCATGGACCTGGCTGACCCCGGAGCTGTGTGAACTGGTGCTGGGAAAAGTAACACTGTCAAGGGAACACTGAGGGTCTCTCCCTGGGTGGTCAGGGAAGGCTTCATGAAAGAGAAGACTGGTTCCAGGACACAAGGGCCACTGCCCTGCGTCCCGCAGCTGGAGGGCTGACACACAAGCCTTCTGCAGGGACACATGTGGCCCACACTGTCACCCGCCTCTCCTGAGGGCTGACAGCAGGCAGGAGCCAAAGTTGCCAATGTGAGGTACCCACTTCCAGACCCAGGCCACAGAGATAATGTAACAGGCAGCCCAGAGCGAAATGCACTCCTGGGGTTCGGGGCCATGGGGGAGCCAGAAGCAGGGAAAAGGCTTCAGGGTTGGTCCAAACGGCCAAGGAGGCCCAAAGAGTTGGGGAGAACACAGTGCTGCCTGGGCTGGACAAGGCCCAGCCTGAATGGGCTGCGTCTTCTGAGTGCTGGGCGGGCACTGGGCCCACTGTCCTCCTGCCTGACCAGCTTCTCAGGCACCAGGCCTCATGAGCCTCCACAATTGGCCACCAGGATGCCATACCTGGGGGAACATGCCAGGGAACCTGCCAGAACCATGGCAGTAGGGGATATGGATGTGCATGGAGCTCCTTCCATGTTGGTAGCCACAGGAGCCACACCCAAGGGCAGAGACAGCCTGGGTGAGGGTCAAAGGCCTCGAACCACATCAGCCCTGAGTGGTGGAGGCCGGCCCACACAGCCCTTGCCCTCAACCCGCCCTGCGGGCTGCCCCTTTGAGCCCTGGACTCCAAATACTTCTGGGGTGGGGCAGCCCCACCTGATGAAGTGCCAGTGGGAACCAGGCCCAGAGGCAGGCCTTGGATATGGCACAGGGCTCTATCTAAGCACCTTCCTAGAGGGCTCCTAGGACCCACAGCTAAGGAAAGGGACCAGGAGGACTGCAGAGTGGTGTCCAGGCTTGCAGGGGCTCCATATGAACAAAGATCATGTGGCATAGCACAGAAAACTCTTCTCACATCCCCTGCCAGAGAGACCTCATGTCCACAGAGCCCAAAGTCCACTGTCCCACCAGCCCAGGGCAAGCCCCCTCTCCATCCTGCTCTCCATGGAAGCCCTGCATCCCTCAGGCCCAGCTCACAACACACAGGCTCCAGCCCAGGCACTCCCCACACCCACACATCTACAGGGCTCTCCTGGGTCCAATGGGGACCAGCAAGTATGTGGTGCACAGGCATCCAAGTGGCCACAGTAGGGGCAGCCACTACCACTTCCTCTCCCCAACAGCCCAGTGCTGACGGCCACATGGAGATACAGCCTGCTCCATAAACCCCAGCCCACAAGGGCACCAGTCGCCACACCCTGGGTGGCAGAGCCTGTTCCCAGGCAAAGGCCAGCCTGGCCCTGATCTGCTCCCAACAGCATGTCCCACTCACCAGCATCACCACACACCAGTTCAGGATGCCACGGTAGTTGCTGAAGCCACTGTCAGAGCTGAACAAAGAATCCTGCAGGCGATGGCACCTGATGGGACACAACACAAGCACCCCCTTAGCAGACACCAGCAGGGCAGGGCCACCCCCGCAGGATCCACGCCCCCACCCCAGCCTCCTTGTCTGCCCACAGGCCCTACTCCCTATTTACAACCAGGAGGAGGAGCCAGACAGAGCCACACACTGTGGCCACGAGACCTACAGTGGGCAAAGCTCTCAGGACCCCTGGAGCCGGCACCTCTAGGGTGCAGCCTCAGGCTTGCAGACCCAGCCCTGTCTGATCTCCATCTCAAGCTCTGAGACTCGGCACCTACCTCAGCCAACACCAGTGCTGGGTAAGGGGAAGTCCAGGGAGCAGGAAGGGCACATCAGAGTCAGGAGAAGCAAGCCCAGCTGGCCCTGCCTCTGGCCACTGCCATGCACTCTGGCTGTGGACTAGCACTGGGGCCACAAGCAGAGTCCAACCTGGAGATGGACCAGGGGCACCACCCAGCACTGCAGGGACCAAGTGGTGAGGGTTGATTCCCCCACATCCCAGCACCCGGGAGCCAAGGAGTCCCTACTCAAAGGGGCAGCAGGCTCAAATGGGCAAAGGCAGGCCAAGTGCCAGCCACACAGCGGCCTGACATGCACTTTCCTGGAGGCAGGGAGCCAGCCCTCATGTGCCGGCGTGGTCTGCACTTGTCTGTGCTGTGTTCTCGCCCAGGCTGAGGTGGCTGAAAGGACCCCACCCAGGGCTAAGTGCCTGCTGGCTGGCCAGGAGGCTTCTGACAGAGGTGGGTGCCCACCCATGATCTCCCAACCAGCGTAGGAGGGGCACAGGCAGACCCTGCCTGATCCTCCACATACTGCACAGGTAGAAGAGGGCGCACAGCCCAACACAGGGACTGCCATGAAGCTGGGACGAGGATAGCAGGCTCCTGGCCAGGCCCCACACGTCCTAGGAAGAAGTGCTGGCTCACGCACACCAGCTACAGCCCCACCTCATCCCCCAGCTGCCGTGCCACCAGGAAGCCACACACAGCACTTGAGCAAGTCCTCAGTTTTGTAAGAGGAGAGGCCAGAGCCTCCTTTTCCCTCCCACACACACACATCTGCCCCTCAGAGCCCCTAGGCAGGGAGAGTGGGCCTGAAGCAATGGCAGGAGCCCCGTGATGCAGATGCCCTCAGGGCGCCCAAGGCAAGCTGGCTAATGTTGGGGTTGGCAGTCAGACGGCCCTGCCCAGGAGGCAAGGGGCCAGGGAGGCCGAGGGGCAATGCCAACAAGCCCAACCTTTGCCCTCCAAGACCAAGGTTGGTGCAGCACCTGCCCCACCTACAAGCTTACACTAGGCCCAGAGACCCACACACAGGGAAGATAATCACACCCTTCCCTCTGCCCATCTAGGCTGAAGCACGAGGACAGGCAGCTCTACCCTAGCCCAAGACCCTGCCTCTCCCAGCTCCAGCCTGAGCATCCTGCCTCCACCCACTAGGTCCATCTTGGGCCATGCAGTGAGGCTGTGGTCTCCAATTGAGCCTCCCTCCTCCCCAGGTTGGCAGCTGCCTTCCCAACTGACCATTACCCTCAGCTTATCTCCCCAGCCCACTCCACTCACTGCCTGCCCCTGACCAGGAGGCTGGGTGTGCACGCCGCCAGAGCTCCAACACCATAACAAGAGCAGGGGCACAAGGCCCAACTGTCCAACAGCTTCTCTGGGGGATCTGTTGGACTGTGCCTCCCCACTGCCCCTTCTTCCCCAAGTTCAAGCTCATTTGTTTTCAGAACGATCCCAAGCCTAGGATTGGCCTTCTTGTATCATAACCTACCAATCACAGCTGTTTCACAACGGTGTGACCCCTGCCCACTTTGAGCCATGAAGGATACCATGCTGGCTTTACCCGTGCCCATCTCCAAGATGAAAGCAGGAGTCGGGAAAGGGTGGTGCTTCCCAAAGCTCACTCCAGACAATCTTATGGCCCCTGAGGCTTCCAAGGCCTGCCTTGACCCAGCGACGCCCTCACCTCACGTCCTCCACAGGCCTCCTGACCAGCCCCACCCCCAGGAAACACTCCCACTGCACTGCTCCTACCCATCACAGATCCCCATGAAGAGGAAGCCCCGGTCCACCAGTGCCTACACAGCTGCAGGCAGGACCAAGTGGGCTAGAGAGCACGGCGCAGGGAGCGGCATGGGGAGGCGGGATCTGCCCCTGTGCCCAGAGCACCTTTGTCACCCTCTCACCTACTGGAGGGACTGCCCAAGCCTCTGCACATTCCAGCTGTCCCTACACCCACTCCCCAGGCCAAGAAGACTCGGAGCAGCCCACCCTCCCACCCTGCAGCCCCCAGGCCCACCCAGCCAACAGGATCCTCTCAGTCTCACAGCAACACTGAGACCTTGGCACACGCCCACCTGCCACCCTGTCTCCAGGTTCAAAATGTGCCCAAAAACACAGGTCCCAGTGATTCCCACACTTGGGCCCCACAGACTGCAGCTCCAGGGCAAAGCAGAATGGGGAGTGGGCAGGGTCCAGCTCTGCTCCCAGTTGCCACCTCTTCCACACTGGCCTCTGGGCTAGGCCTGGGGTTCAAGATGGTTGGAGCAGGCTAACTGCACCTCATAGACCCTGCTGGAGAGAGTAAGGGAGAGTCAAAGAAGACACCTCAGGGACAGAACACCCTGAGAGAAGCCACAAACCAGAATGCCCCGACTGGGGTGCCTGTGAACAGAGGGCTGATGGGAGTGTGCAAAGAGCCTGGCAGGAGTGAGCCACAGGCAGGGCAGAAAAGGGTGCCCTCTCCTGCCTGCCTCACAGCCTCACCTTGCCACGGGGCCGGAAGAAAAGAGCTCATACCCAGAGCCCAGCCCAAGGTGAGCAGGAAGTGCCAGTGAGGGGAGGAGGCCCAGAGCTGTAGGAGTAACGAGGAAGCCGGAAAGGAAAGGCTGGGCTGGGCCAAGAGTGGCAGCAGTCGGGACGGAGGGGAGGCTGTTAAGGCTGACAAGGGAGTGCACTAGAGGCCAAGTCCCAGGAGGGCAGGCAGAGCAAGGCCTGACCCGGACAGCAGGGAGAAGTGTCCACAGCCAGAGGTCCCTGAGCCCTACTGCATCCCCACGTCTGACGGACAGGCACATGTGGCCTCTAAGTCCTGGAGACCCAGAAGCAGATGGACTTCCGGGCTCAGCCTCCAGCCCCGGGGAAAGCCCCACCTCTGCCTTCTACTTCTCTTTCCAAAGAGACCCAACCTCAGTGTCAGGGACAGGGACTCCCCAGGCCTCTCCCACGAGCTCCGCACTGGTCCCGCACCAGCAGAAGTGCAGGAAAGGCTCAATGGTTTAAAAAGCAGGAAGGTGACTGCTCTCCCGTGCCTACTCCAGGGTGGCAGCTTGGCCCAAAGCTGGGATACCCCCATCTCACACTAAAAATCTCAATTCCTGGCCAGGTGCGGTGGCTCACACCTGTAATCCCAGCACTTTGGGAGGCCGAGGCAAGTGGATTACCTGAGGTCAGGAGCTCAAAAGCAGCCTGGCCAACATGGTAAAACCCCGTCTCTACTAAAAATACAAAAATTAGCTGGGCATGGTGGCGGGTGCCTGTAATTCCAGCTACTTGGGAGGCTGAGGCAGGAGAATCTCCTGAACCCAGGAGGCAGAGGTTGCAGTGAGCCGAGATCGCGCCATTGCACTCCAGCCTGGGCAACAAGAGCGAAACTCATCTCAAAGAAAAAAAAAAAATCTCAATTCCCATGCCCTCCAGAGGTCATGGCCAGCCTCCTCAGCAGCACCCAGGCCCACAGCAGGCAAGCACCCCTCTCAGGAGGGCCGCCCTCCTCCTAATGGAGCCTTCATGGCCTCCGTGCCCGACCTTTGTCCACACTGCTCGGTGCCTGCGTCTTCCTGAGGTTATCTTATCTCCCAGATGAACTGAACACCCTGAGGGCCACGACGGTGACTGCCCTCCCCCAGCCCCCTCTCCGTGGTGCCCAGTGAAGAAAAGCTCCATTCTTATTCATTGAGAGAGCAAATCCTTGCCAACTAAATGTCCAAAATCTGCCCACTTCCACCTTAATAACCTCTAGGCCTTCGGCTGCTCCCTAAAACAAAACCCCTAAGGGCCCCTGGGTCAGGGTAAAGGCCATAAAAGGGGGGTGGAGGGTGGCAAAGGGATTGCTCAAGGCCAGCTTGGAGGAGGAAGCCAATGCCCAGGCTGGCCAAGTCCTTCCCATCAGCCATGGTTCCCTCCCTCCACCCCTGTCAGTCAGTCATCCAGCTGGGCAGGACACCCACCTGCAGGTGTGTCCACCATCCCCGTACCCCACCTCCCTCCTGAAGGACGGACGTCCCATCACAGAACCCAACTCTCTGTCCCTACAGCAAACGCGGGTTCTGGCAACATCCGCAGGGATGAATGGGGCACGCGGCCACCCTCAGGACGATCTGCAAGGACAAGAGCGTCTCTTCCACTGCCCCTGGCCCAGGGGCAGCTGCTCATTCCCCTGCCCTCAGACAGGCCGGGGCTCCAGCTGGCCCCCTCCCTGGCAGGCCAGCCCTCCCCGGGGAGCCCCTCCTACCCGCAAGGCACCGCTCGGAGCACCAAGACCGAACCCACCACCACACGCTGCCCGGATCTCGTCCGACTCCTCCCGGGGGGGGACACTGTCCGGGGCTGGGACGCACGGGGCGTCACCAGCCCGCCCCTGGAAAAGCGCTCAGGGGCCCCTGAGGACCCGACAGCGGGACCCCTGCCCGCTCCCCTCCGCCCGGCCACGGCGGCCGGCTCCACGGGCCCCCACCCCGCGACCTTGGCAGGGGCCCCTCCCCGCAGAGCCTCCGCTTCCCCACGAGCGCCGCGGGGCCCAGGTCCTCGGACGCGGAAGCGCGCGGAGCCCGCTACCTCAGCTCCCCGGGGCCGCTGCCCACGCCGGCGTCTCCGTCCTTGCCGGGGGCCGGGGCCGGCGCGTCCCCCGCGGCTCCCACGTCGGGGCCCGCAGCGGCATCCCGCACCTCGTCTTCCGCCGCCGCAGGCCCGCCGCCCCCGTGGCTCGAGGGCCGCGACCCCGTCCTCCGACGCCGGGAACCGCCGGCGCCGCCGCGGTCGCCCATGGCCTCAGCCAGCACCCGGCCGCGGCTCAGCCGAGGCCCGCCGGTTCGCAGCGCGCGAGGCCCGCGGCCCCACCTCCGGACACTCGGGCAACCGCCGCCGCCGCCCCCCGCCGGCCGCCGTAGCCCGCGTGCCCGCCCCGCCGGCGCGTTCGGCCCGTCCGCGTCGGGCCCGTCGCCTCGAGGACCGCGGCCGCGTCGCTCCGGAGCCGCTAACTAACGGGCCGCCGCCGCTCACGTCCATTTGTAGTCCGCCGCCGACCCGAGGCGGGGCCTGGAGAGGCTGGCGGGGCGCAAAGCACCGTGGGAGTCGTGGTCGTCGCGGGCGCGCCGGCGCAGAGCACCCTGGGAGCCGTAGTCGCCGCGGGCGCACCGGCGCAGAGCACTCTGGGAGCCGTGGTGGCTCGCAGGGCCGGGGTTGCGGGCGGCGAGCACGGGGCGGGAACGGCCCTGGCATCGCCCCCTCGTGGTGCCAGGGTCTTGTCCAGCTCTACGGAGCGGGCTGATCCTCCGAGGGCTGCTCAGGGCCCCGGCTTCCCGGCCGCTGCGCGCCCGCGCCTCGTCCCTCTCGTGTACGCACGGGATCTCGCCAGCCTCGGCCCGACGAGCCGCTCGGTACAGTCATTAGGAAGCGCCTCGTGCGCTGCAGTCCAGCCGCCAGGGCCAGTGTCCGCGGCAGCTCGCGTCGCCCTCCACCCCGCACGTTGGTTTCCGCGCGTGCAGCTGACGGTAACGTCCCCGGCGCGCTCGTGCTCCGCGAGCCCGCTGGTTACCCCGGCAGGAACCTGCTTTGCATCGCCTTAGACATCAGACAAGGGCCAGGTCAGAAGGCCAAGCTGGGGAAATGCACCAGGCCCCGCGTCACCGGGACGCCTGCCCTGCACGCGACTCCCAGGCTCTCCACCTCCCCGCCGGCAGAGCCCGGCTAGGGTAGAGCGAGGGCGCAGGCCCCTTGGTGTCGTCTCCCCGGCCCACCCACTCCCTCCACAGGGAGCTCCACGTCCCTCAACTCTCAGGGCCGCCCGATTTCCAACCGGGGCCAGCCTCGCCAGGATGTCAGGAGCCTGGGGCGCTGGATCACCAGGATTCAGAGGCTTCTGTGCATTTGCACAGCCTGTGCTGTCTTTTCTTATTTTTTCTAAAGACGGGGTCTCGCTATTCTGCCCAGGCTAGTCTGAATCTCCTGGCCTCAAGCGATCCTCCCACCTCAGACTCTGAAGGTGCTGGGATTACAGGTTACGAGCCAGCCGCCTTGTATGTTAAATGAAGCAACTAATCAACTGTAACAGCCACAGGTGCGGCCCACCTTGGCCTGGCATGCATAGGCACAGGGCATGGAGTGAGAACGTCCTGGATCTCAGGGTGCCACGTTCACTAGAAACCTGGAAACACTCCATTTCTCTGGGGTGAGCAGGGAAGAGAAGCGGCTCTCTGGAAGCAAACAGGTGCTCCTCCTGAAGTCGGGTCCTCTCATGTGGACTGGTCACAGACTCTGCTGAGCTCAGTCCTCTTCCGCCACCTCCACCAACAGCGGCTGGCAGGCTGCCCACCCGGCTGCCCCTTTGGTGACATGTTCTTGTCACCACAGGCCATTGTGGGTTGCTGCCAGCAACCTGGCAGCGCTACCTGGCAGATGCTCTTCGTGTACCCTGCTGAGTGGGGCCACCTCACTGGGCCAGAGAGCCCCTCACATATGGGCTTTGGTCGGTCAGGACCACAGCCCCATCTCCTACCCAGTTTCCTAGAACATTCATCTGTTCACCTCAGTCGCTGGCAGACGCACTCTGCAGCCAGGCCCAGGCCTCTGAGTATGGACTGACACCAAGCTCAGAGAGGTCTGGGCCTGGCCGTAGAGCACCTCAGCTCAGCCTGTCCCAACTCAAGGCAGGCAAGTATCCACAGAAGAAAGACCACAGGAGGATGGACTGCCCCACCAGGGAGGATGGGTCAGGCCTGGCGAGCAGAGCTGGGCCTGGAGCCCATAGGAAAGCCCTGGCTGAGGGTGCACCATTAAAGAAGGGTCTTGCCACCAGGGGTGGGGGCAGCATGGGGCGGCAGCTCCAGAGCCCGGTGAAGCCCTGCCCAGACAGCCCCTGTACCCTGGGATCTAGGTGAGGGGAATGGCCAGGGTAGGTGACGTTGGCTGGGGACAAGGGTGTGAGTGGCCGGGTCATCGAGGAAAGCGTGTACTGGTCACCCTGCTGGGGGCAGCAACAAATGAAGGGGCTGGAGCCTGGAGTCAGTCGCCTTGCAGGACCAGTGGAATAAAGGGCCAGAAAGCTGACCCCAGGGCTTAGGGGCCGAGGAGGCCTGTGAGAAGCTTGGGTCCGGGGAGAGTTCAGGGCCAGCAGCGGTCAGTGGCTAATGCCACTCATTCTCTCAGAAGGTTGTGTCCCTGGCTGGGAGGAATTGGGAGATCAAGCTCATCCCAGGCCTCAGGGAGGCCATCTCCATCCTTCACCCCCTCTACACATCAGAATCCTGAAGGAATAGAAACAGCCACTCATTGTGGAGTCCTTTAGAAGGACGGGAGCTTTGCTCCTGGCCATTGCTGCCTGCCATTGTCATTGCTGGCAGTGCTCTCCCAAAGGGAGCACCCAGCTGCACCCCACCTCCTCCAAATGCCAGCACACAGCCATAACATGCTGCAGGCCCGGCTCCCCTGCTGTCCACCACAGTGGAGCAGACGTCCCCAAACTTTTTACACAGGGGGCCAGTTCACTGTCCCTCAGACCGTTGGAGGGCCGCCACATACTGTGTTCCTCTCACTGACCACCAATGAAAGAGGTGCCCCTTCCTGAAGTGCGGCAGGGGGCCGGGTAAGTGGCCTCAGGGGGCCACATGCGGCCCGCGGGCTGTAGTTTGGGGACGCCTGCAGTGGAGTCTGGGCAGGTCTGTCTCCTGTCCCTGCCAGGGTGTGGGCAGCTTTACTGGTCCTAGGACTGACCTGGTTTGAATGCATGTGCATGAAGACTTTGGGCTTCTCAGCTCACGCCTGCCTACCTGGTTACCAGGGGCCATTGTTGGACAGAGGGTCCCTACCCCTCATCTCCTCCACTACTCATTCTGTCTAGAGCCCCTGGGCAATGGTTGCAGAAGCCTCTCTCCCCACCAGGGACCTCCCCCCGGGACTGGTCCAACCCAGCTGTCCATGGAGCTGTCCATGGAGGCCTCCTCAGACACTGGAGGAGCTCGTTTGGGAAGCCTGGGGGTCAGAATGTGGGCAGCAGGGCCGGGCACGGTGGCTCAAGCCTGTAATCCCAGCACTTTGGGAGGCTGAGGCAGGTGGATCACAAGGTCAAGAGATCAAGACCATCCTGGTCAACATGGTGAAACCCCGTCTCTATTAAAAATACAAAAAAATTAGCTGGGCATGGTGGCGCGTGCCTGTAATCCCAGCTACTCAGGAGGCTGAGGCAGGAGAATTGCCTGAACCCAGGAGGCGGAGGTTGCGGTGAGCCGAGATCGCGCCATTGCACTCCAGCCTGGGTAACAAGAGCGAAACTCCATCTCAAAAAAAAAAAAAAAAAGAATGTGGGCAGCAGGCCACAGGCAAAGGGCCAGACCTTGAGCCCTCTGCTGTCCCCATTTCCTGCAAAAGCATCTCAGAGGGCTTGGGGTGGCTATCAGGCCTTCCGGCACAGCACGAGCTCCTACAGGGAGAGAATAGTGGAGGCACCCAGGCTGGGGAACTGCGGTTCCTACTGTACCCACCCTGCCCACTCTGGACCACCTGTAGGCTGGGCCTGACTTTGGGCTAGAGCCCCTTAGTGACCCGGTTCCTGGTGCAGAGCAGATCCACCAACCCCAGGGGAAGTGCCCACTGCTTTGCCTTCAGACCCGATGCTCCTGTGGTTGGCCTGCTGAGCTAGCCCTCCCCAGTGGAAGAAGAGGGCCCTCTTGTGAAAAGCCTCAGCGTGACCCTTGCAGCAGCACCAGGACTGGAAAGACCCTCCCAGCCACCCCCAACCGCATGGGCCCGGCCCAGGACACATCAGCCCGACACTCCAAATTCTATCAAGAGTGGCATTTATTCTCCTTGTGGAGGTGCGGCGCTCCGGGGAGCTGGTGCTATTGTGCTTAGGAAGGAGGTCTGTCCGTCCGTCCGTCTGTCCGGCCGGCCTGGCCCCAAACGGGGGCGGAAGAAGGGCACGGCCCGAGTAAAAATCCCGGCCTATTCCGGGTGGGAATATGTACAAGGCGGCGGGGCGCAGGCGGGGGTGGGGGCGGGCGGGCCGGCGGCCGCAGCCCCCACCCGAGGGCCCCCGCACCTCGGGCCCTACTTGTAGAATCAGTACAAAATAGGTGCTACCTAAACGTTCCTTCTACCTGAATTCGCTAAGTCGGTTATTGTGCTGCTTAGTTACGGGGGCGGGAGGGGGCCCATGGCTTTCCACGGCGGCGAGGTGTGGGGGAACAGGAGACCCTGACGGGCCCACAGCCCTCCAGCTTTCTCCTTAGGTAGGTAGACAGGAGCATGGGGTGGGGTGGGGGCGCCTGTGTGTGCGTGTGCATGCAGCACAGGTGGGCGGGCACCACGCCTGGTTGTGTAGGGTACTGGACGTGGGCACTGCTGTGCAGAGCAGCGGGTCATCCTTGTGGGGCAGCCACACTTGCTGCTGGGGTGAGTGAGGGTGGCCACGCCATAGGCTACAGCTTGCACCTTCTTCTCCGGCCATGGCTCTGCCCCTGGCTGGACATGGCAAGTGTGTGTTGGCCAGGGAATCAGAGAAGTGGCCACCTGTGTGGGGGCCCAGTGTCTCAGGGCCATGGAGCCCTGCGTCTGTCCCCCTCAGCTGGGACCAAAAGGCCTAAGTCAAAGGTAGAGCCCAGTTGTGCCCAGCAGGGACTGGTTGAGGTGGGGAGGAGAGTGGGGGGCATCTGAGCCTAGGGACCTGGTCTCTGCATCTGCCCTTCTTCCCTGGCCCGCCCAAGCCAGTCGAATCCCTGTCCTGCACACACCTCCCAGCAGGTGGTTGCGTTCCTGGCGGACTCCGCAATTGGCCCGGCACATAGTAGGTGCTCAATGAACGGTACGTGAAAGATTAATGACTGAAGGAGGGGTCCTGGGTGCATCCACCCCACCCCCGCCCGTGGAACCAGTACACCCGCCGGGCTCTGCCGTGGGAGTCGGGGAGGAGTGGGGAGAAAGTCTGCGCGGCCGGCCCCGCGCAGCGTCCCTGATCTAGGGGCCTATGGGGTGGGCAGGGCAAGGGGATACCTGATTCTCAGTAACTCTAGAGGCGGCGGCAGCTTCGCATGCAGTGCGCGTTATTGCTCTATAGTC